TGCCGGTCCCTGCTGCCGTTCCTACTGATGCCTGATCCCGCTGATGCCTGTTCCTGCTGCCGCTCCTGCTGCTGTCTGTCCCTGCTGCCTGCTCCTGCTGCTCCTACTACTGCATGTGCCGCTGCTGCTGTTCCTGCCACTGCCGCTCCGCTGGCTCCCAGGCTGCACCTGTCTCTACGGCTCGGCTCTTTCAGACACGTATGTAACCTGGCTCACGGAGACAAGCGGGGCACGCATGAATCGCATTGTGGTGCTGCTGCTCCTGCTAATGCTGCTTCTGCTGCTTCATACTGCTACCGCTACTGCTGCTACTGCTGCTACTGTGCTGCTTCATACTGCATCTGCTGCCGTGCTGCTGCTGCTTCATGTACTTTGACATCTCTCTTCACTTGGCATCTCTTTTACTGAAACACTAAACAGCTACAACTTATTCTACTGCTCTGGCTTTGATACTGGATTATTGCTGTTATTTTCTACGGATGCTGCAGCTGCTGCTGCTTCATACTGCTGCTGCTGCATACTGCTACTGCTGCTGCTCCTGCTAATGCTGCTTCTGCTGCTTCATACTGCTACCGCTACTGCTGCTACTGCTGCTACTGTGCTGCTTCATACTGCATCTGCTGCCGTGCTGCTGCTGCTTCATGTACTTTGACATCTCTCTTCACTTGGCATCTCTTTTACTGAAACACTAAACAGCTACAACTTATTCTACTGCTCTGGCTTTGATACTGGATTATTGCTGTTATTTTCTACGGATGCTGCAGCTGCTGCTGCTGCTGCTGCTGCTTCATACTGCTGCTGCTGCATACTGCTACTGCTGCTGCTGCTGCATACTGCTGCTACTACTGCTGCTGCTGCTTCATTTACCTTGCCATCTCTCTTCACTTGCATCTCTTTTACTGAAACACTGAGCAGCTACTACAACATTCTACTGCTGTGGCTTTGATACAGGATATTACTGTTATTCTCTAAGGACGCTGCTGCTGCTGCTGCTGCTGCTGCTGCTACTGTCGCGGCTTGATACAGGACTATTGCCGTTATTATCTGAGGTTGCTGCTGCTGCCGCTGCTGCTACTGCTACTGCTGCAACCCACTCTCTCAGAAGCTTATCCTGCTTCTAATGGATGCAGCCCGGCTGAGCATGCCGCGCTGCGCTGGACTCGCACCTATGCTCCCAGGGTCGCTTCGGCGGTCATGCTTCATCTCTCTACTTAATCTTCTGATTCTATCAGATGCAGCTGGCCGAGTAGCTGCGCTGAGCCGTCAATCGGACTCCTAATCAAAGGCATCCATACCTGTATTCTTCACTCTTCTGATCGCAGGCTCCCCATCATGCTGCCCATCCTGCAGCGGCGCTGAACTCCGGCTCATCTTCCAAGTACATGTCTGCCCTCCTCGCAGCATCTTCCTGCTCTCCTTCTATGGCTTCTCTGCGTAAGCGTTTCACCATTGCTCACTCAACCTTCATGCGGTCCGAGACACGGCTTTCCCGACCATCCTACTATCCTGATTTCTACTCTCCAACCCAAGGTTTCAAGCGTAAGGGCGCCTGCAAACATCAATGGCCCTCTCCGACATGTCTCTGCCCCTACAGGTCTCCGCTTCTACACGGACGCTGCCCCTTCCGTGGGTTTTTGGGGGATTCTTCCAGGACCATTGGTTTGCCGAGCGTGGCCGCTACTTTCCACCGGAGCATCTCCTCTGCCCTACACGTGATATTCCCAGTGGTCGTGGCTTGCGCGCTGTGGAATCACACGTGGCAGAGAAAGAGGATCTCTGTCACGTGTGATAATCTCGACGTAGTGGAAGCATTACACAAAGGTCGCTCTTTTTCACCCAACATAATGTCCCCTGACCATTTCAACCTCCGTCTCAAACATTCAAAAATCAAAGGAGCCTGCAATATAGTAATAGCTCGCTCGGACACATCTCTCTGCCCCTACAAAACCTTGATGCGTTACACTCGCCTCCGCTGCAAAAAGGAAATCTTAACGGACCTCTATTTCTCACTCCAGACACTCTTCCCATGACAGCAACCTGGTTCAGAGCTCGACTAAGATCCCTACTGCTCCTTCTGAAGTCTGCAATTTGTCTCCCCAGCTCTATACAGCCCACTCCTTCAGGATAGGCGCTGCCACGCGCGCGACCTCGCTGGGGCTCCCCCACTCTTCTCTGCAACAGCTGGGGCGCTGGTCCTCTTCGGCTTTCTCCACCTACATCAGGCCAGATGCGACCGCTATCATGGCAGCACAACGTCTACCGGCTTCCTCGTAAGCTCCCAGCAAAGCAAGTAAGCAATAAGATTCTGGTGGCGGCACGCACTTTCCTCAAACGCTCAAAGACTCCCCTGCTGCGTGCGCGCATGTTCTCAGCTCGCTCAAAGATTCCTCTGCTTCAGCGTCTGGCTGAATATGAGCATGCGCTCATATTCTCAGCTCGCTTAAAGATTGCCCTGCTGCAGCGTCTGGCTGAACATGCGCATGTTCTCAGCTCGCTTAAAGATTCCTCTGCTGCAGCGTCTGGCTGAACATGCGCGTGCGCGCATGTTCTCAGCTCGCTTAAAGACTCCTCTGCTGCAGCGTCTGGCTGAACGTGCGCGTGCGCGCATGTTCTCAGCTCGCTCAAAGATTCCCCTGCTTCAGCGTCTGGCTGAATATGAGCGTGCGCTCATATTCTCAGCTCGCTCAAAGATTCCTCTGCTTCAGCGTCTGGCTGAATATGAGCGTGCATCTCATATTCACAGCTCGCTCAAAGACTCCTCTGCTGCAGCGTCTGGCTGAACGTGCGCGTGCGCGCATGTTCTCAGCTCGCTCAAAGATTCCCCTGCTTCAGCGTCTAGCTGAATATGAGCACGCTCATATTCTCAGCTCGCTCTGCCTAAACAAACACGGGCCCCAGCGGACGCAGCCGGCTGAGCGACTGTGCGAGAAGCCTCTCACTCTTGCTCTCAGGCCTGCGCAGTACATCTTGCTATCCCAATCGCAGGCCCGCTTTTTGGGGATTATGCACGCGAGCAAGCGCCGTGCTCAACAGCATCCCTCCCGGGCCTAGGGCGCCAAACATGCTCAATCAATAAACATGCTTAAATCTATTTTCCTCATGGGTCTCTCCAATGTGAAATGGAGCTTTCGCGAAAGTTCACTGTGGTAGACCCGGCTGCTGCTTGCCCAGATCTACAGGCTGCTCTTCCTCGGCTCATCAGACCAGCAACGCCCACATCCAGCCAACCAATAACCACCAGGACAGCAAGTTAAAAGCCGGAGACTCCCACTTCCCGGCCTTCTGAAGTCTGCAAGCCTCCGCCGCCCCACCTCCTCCTTTTCTCACCAAAGCGTGCTTGCCTACTGCCTCTGCCGCCACCAGTGCCACCAGTGCCTAGGCCCCGGGGGGGATTATGCACGCGAGCAAGCGCCGTGCTCAACAGCATCCCTCCCGGGCCTAGGGCGCCAAACATGCTCAATCAATAAACATGCTTAAATCTATTTTCCTCATGGGTCTCTCCAATGTGAAAAAGCAGTATGGATCAGGTTCGTGGGGAAACCATCTCGTTCACATGCATTTTAAAGATTTTTTCTGTGATACTTGACAACAGTTGTTTATTCTCTAACTAAATTAATTACAATAGCTTATTTCATTAAAATTGCAGTTTCAATTCTGGTATGTCCTGCAGCACTTGTGTGTATTAATATCAAATGTATCAAAGAAGCCATTTCTATCTGTTGTCTCTCGGGCAGGCATGTGATCTCCACCTTAACAGCATTACAAAACAGCAAAAACATCCTAAGTAATTCCAGTTTTCATTGGTTAAATTCACTCTGATATAGGCGTAAACTTGACATGTTTTCTGACAAGCACAAACAATTACTGCAGGACACCAAATCTGACTTAATGAGAGCTTCAAGACCGGGCTGGTATTCCGCTGCTCTGCATCAACATGACTGAACAAGAGTTTGAGTGAGGAGCTCATATATGTCACATCCTCCCTCTTCATTTAATCTGTGCACAGTTCACGTTCACCTTTACAATCATATTTGAACTCTTGACACACAACAAGGCCATCATGCATTCATACTCATTCAGGAATGTGAGTTCAGCTCTTGTTTGTTAATGGGGACATAGTTTTAATTATGCAAGGTCTTATCCCCATTTTGTGATGTGTTTTGTAAAATACTTTGTGTTAAAAAAAAAATCTTTAAATCCTTTGAGTAGATTTGCACAAGAATGGATGGAATCTTGTTTTTACCACACACTCCTACAGTAAGTTAGTTTAAAGGTGAAGGTGCACTTTATTATATTAGTAAATGAGTACACACACATGCACACACACTCACGGGCAGCAAGGTGGCTGAGTGGATAGCACTCTCGCTTCTCAGCAAGAAGGTCCTGGGTTTGAATCCTGGTCGGAACAGGGCCTTTCTGAGTGGAGTTTGCAGGTAGGTTTCCTCCAGGTACTCCAGTTTCCCCTACCACTAAAAACATGCACAATAGGTCTGGCATGTGCCTCCTGTACTGGCGACGCCGCTCACATCTCTGTGGGGAGCGAGAGGACAAATGCCCAAAAATGTAAACCGCTTTGTTACTCTGGTCTGTGAAAGGCGGCATAAAGATTACTTACTTACTTACTTACACACACACACACACACACACACACATCACACCTATCACACCTTATGCTACAGTAATTGTGCTTTAATAATACTTAATTTTGAATTATCACAAAGGGACACGTTGCACTTGACTGTAACTGAAGCTGATTAGATAGGAAGGGTAGAAGTCTGGTTCAGATAAGCGATACATACATGATGCTCTCATTATAGAATGCATAATCACAACTTATGGAGTACTTGTTTCACATTGTATTTGACCGTATGGATTGCATTAATTGAATGAATGATCTCTGAAGATAGACTTAAGGAGGATCTCTCTGTCCTAAAGAGACTCCAGTGTTGTGACAGTTTCTTGTACACTTCCTGTTGTTAGTGGCTGCGTTCAAAGGTTTCATGAGGGAGTGTATAAACCCCGCTGTGGTTGGATCACCTGCACAGAGCTCTACCATGTCCAAGAGCGCGCAGGCTGCACCTCACAGTAAGTACAGGCCATAATATTCTTTATCACACCCCACACTTTTACTACAGACACAAAGCGTCCCTTTTGCTGCAGACAGAGAATGGTGGGAATACATCTTTTGACAAATGACATACAACAGGGTTCCATTTGCATTATACAAACAAACAGATTTTGAACCCTTAACGGAGCACGGATAGAATCAGGATTTGGCAAGAATTGAACAGAAATGTTTTGAAATCATCCACGAAGCAACGCAGTGCCAGAGCAGACATGCTGAGTGTCTTTTAAACATAAGGCTTTCTTTCTCATATCCATCCAAACTTTAAATATACTTTATTTGTTGTTGTTCTGGTTGAAAATGAGCTTTTTGAAAGAGCACGTAGAGAGTTTATTAATCACATTTAGTCTCGTGCAAATGACAAGCAGCTGCCAGATTTCCAACAAAGAGAAAACATTACAATAAGATGATGAAAAATCAACCAAGGTCATGTACTCTTTATCGCTGTTGCACTGAGCCATGAGAAAGATGCTCAGATGTTTCAACTGTGAAAGCCAGAAAATAACAACATACAGCATGGAGCCATTCATTGGAAGTCCAGATCACGTTATGTTTTGTTTTGGTCAAACAACACAAAACCAATGTTTGAATTCAAGGTTCATTTGCCATAAACTCTGTAAAAGCCCAGAGAGAACACACTAAAGCCTTGAGTGGTTATCTTTTATTGCATACTGTCCACTTTATTGTCTTTCCACTGGTATCATGGGAGAAGACATTTCTTCTGCCTCGTTGATTGTCTGCGATAACAATTCATCCACATTCAAAATAATGTGTGTGGTGTTGTAATCGGCTCAGCTTGTGGCTGCCATCGTCTGCTTTTGTTTATCATGCCTGGCTCATATATATTTTACAACCTCCGCTGTATGTGCAGATATAAGGTAATGAACACAACTGGTTATTGGATAACAGTTAAGGCAGTAGATAGTGCTGGTGTCATCCACAGGCCATGACCTCTGAGAGCCTGCCCAACACTGGCTCTGAAGTGAGTTTCAAACAGCACACAAAGGTGCTCTCAGATTTTTTTTAAAAAACAGGTTAATTTCAAGGGCAGCCACAAGGTAGAATATTTTTGCAAATGTGCTTCCTCACCCAAGATTTTGAGAGAGGATTTGAGAGAGGCAGTTTGGAAGGAGAAAGACAAAAGGAAAGATTAAGGCAAAGATTAAGTCATGTCTTTGTTCAAAGAGTTTGAAGTTGCATCCGGAGTAAAGCTCCTCTCGATATAGTGCAGAGTTACTGCAGGATGGTGGGGTCAACAGTTCAGATGTGGCTCTGGTTGATTCTGAATCAAGTCTCTCTTTTATCCTGGGATTTTATGATGTGGATGTGTTTGAATGCAGCTAATCATTGCTGTCCTTGTGTTCAGTCGCCAGCAGGCTGCGGTGCCCACAGGGCAGCGGGCTGGAGAGCCTGGCACCACTCGTAACATCAGTGGAAGAAACACCCAACCCCATTCCCACAACAGTCAGTGGCAACGTTCCCTCATGGATCAATGGGAGCTTCCTCAGGAATGGCCCTGCAAAGTTTGAGTTTGGAAATGACAGGTGAATTTATTTATTTTTATTAGCTAAATAAGGGTAAATGAACTAAAAAGAACAGTATGGTCATTCATTAAACTTAGTCCAGTTGCTCACTGTGGACCAACCTGGACAATAGAGGGATTCAATATGATGTCACTATTTTATAATCATTTCAACCTCTGTAACCACCATTTAAGACGTCTCCACTTTCTTGTGTATTTTCAGATATGTGCACTGGTTTGATGGTATGGCCATGATGCACAAGTTCCATATAGAAAATGGACAAGTCACGTACAGCAGCCGTTTCCTCAGGAGCGACTCTTACGTCCAGAACTCTGAAAAGAACCGTATCGTGGTGTCAGAGTTCGGGACGTTAGCTATGCCTGATCCCTGCAAAAACATCTTTGCACGCTTCTTCTCACGTTTCCAGGTTCCCAGTAAGTATACAAGTGATTAACTTGTTGAAATTTGAATAACCCTTACATTTCCATACAAAACCGCAGTGTTTCATCAAGAGTAAAGCAGGCGTATTCACTTTGTTCATTGCTCTTGATCCGAAGTTTCTTATAAATGTCTTTTGAGTCCTAATGGAAACAAGAGTCACATTATAGTATTGTATTATTTAAGTGAAGGCAACAAGTCAATAAGTGTATTTGCGAGTGCATTTGGGCAACGCAGTGCATCAGTTGTCTGAAAGGGAAAGATCAATGCACAGCGAGACTGCATCGGAGAAAGGAGGAAAGAAATAAATGAAAAACATTTCAGTTATATCTCCAAGACAGATGTGCTGAGGTAAATTAACCTCAGCTCATCCATTCCTGATGTTGTCTGTATGTGTGAGCAGAAACTACAGATAACGCAAGTGTGAACTTTGTCAAGTACAAGGGAGACTATTATGTCAGCACCGAAACCAACTACATGAGACGCATAGACCCACAGAGTCTGGAGACAAAGGAGAAGGTGAGAAACCGACTCATGCGCTAAAGTCTTCATTCCATTTGTAACTTTGATCATAAGAACTAGAAAATAGGGCTGCACCATTGATTGCAATCAAATCACAATTTTAAGCCAATCAGTAAATCGCAAAGACTACTTGGTTTGCCCATGACATTGCAAACCAAGTAATTCACTGTTAAGCAGAAATACATATTCAGAATCATACCCAAGCTTAATCATACCCAAGGTAAGTTATTCTGTGTAATTGAAATCAGGTTTTTTTCTTTGAAAAATCCAAATAATAAGTTATTTTTCCCAAATTGTGCAATCTTAAAGGGAACACCAAATCTATTTTGTTTAAGGTGGACTGGAGTAAGTTTATAGCGGTGAACTCTGCCACAGCCCACCCCCACTATGACAGAGAGGGAGCCTCTTACAACATGGGGAACTCCTATGGCAAACAAGGTATGACATCACTCAAATGGCCGCATGTTTGGAGCAGTGGTAGGTTCTGGGTTTGATTCCACCTCCAGACGGGGCCTTTCTGTATGGAATGTGAATGTTCTCCCCTGCGTAGGTTTTCTCCAGGTGCTCTGGTCTCCCATACCATTAAAAAAACATGCAATAGTCCCCTGTAACACCCTCCCTGACCCCACACTGGCCCCTAGTCTGGGTCCAAAACACCCCTGAATAAGAGATCAATCCACTGGCTTTCATTGTCACTGGGATAAATGTACAGACGCAATAGAACACTGTACCTAGTACATTTGTTCATATTGACTTGACATTCATTATCCAATACCTCAGGTTGTAACAGTACAGTAGAGTACCCATGAACTTAATTGCAGATTTGTATGATTTAAAAAAGACATATTATGTAAATTTCAGCCCACACTAATTTCAGACAAAAACTTGTAACTCCGCCCCTTATGTCAAATAGCGTCTGTCTCAAACCTGTAATATCGTGATTTGTTGATGTAACTCTATGACATCGCTCTCAGAGCAGTTTTCTGCTTTTTAACTCAAAGATGTTGCCCCTAAATAGTTGGAAGTTGGCAGGCATGGGTAAAAATACGTTCTTTACAATCCTATAGATGTGTTTGCAGCTGGTAATTTTCAAAATTAAAACTATAACTAAAATGAATGCAACTCCTCCCTCAGGCAAGTACAGGTTTATTTCCTTCTTTTTCCTGTCAACATAAATTCTCTTCCTAAAATATTCACATTCTAAAACATTGAGTCTGTGTAAAATGTCACATTTTTATTTTTAATGCCCAAAAAAATCCATGATATTTTTTTTTCTTTAATATTGTGTGGTTTTGGTCCAATAAGGCTTCTTCTACACTATCATCCGAGTGCCTCCTCCTGATGAGACAGCAGCAAAGACTGACTGTGCAGACCTGAGCGGGGCCAAAGTAATCTGCTCCATCCCGGCCACTGAACCCAGGAAGCCATCCTATTACCACAGCTTTGGTGAGAAAAACACCACACAGGCTATCTCAGGCCACATTCCATTTAAATAGACTGCATTTGGCTCCTTAAGCTTCAGAGAAAAAGTATAAATTAAGACTTTTTCCAATCACCACTTTAATAAGTCATTAGTTGTTGCACACAGTTTAGTACTAGGCATTTGCTATAAGGCTATACATCAACAAAGGGATTGCAATTTCTGCTGAAACGTCTAGAAATCTAATAAAGCCAGGTAATATAATTTATTCTAAGGTCTTTTTAAAATTCTACTGGAGTTTTTTGTCATTTGAACTCATTATGTAATTATTGACAGAAACACTTATATCTTCCATTGATCTGTTTAGGGGCACACATGGATAAAAGGTTTGGTTTCATGGCAGATGATTCCAATGAAAAGTGACATAGGTTTATTTCTGGGGAATAATGTTGTCTAGCGGTGGATAATTGCTTTCGGGGATGGCCTAATATTAAGTCAAACGGACACGCTTCTGCCACAAGCCCACGTGACTTCCAGGCTGAGTCTAAATTATCTTGTTTTCATTCTGGCCCAGTATTCAGATTATATCACTGTTTTTATTTCCAACAGACCATCCTCACTTGCTAGACAGTCTGGCTCCATGAAAGTGATGGAACATTGAAATGCGCATAGAAAAAACTACGTCTGCTGAGATTTATCCAAATTTATGTGTTGTCCATTCATACATTCAGTGTTCATGATATTGACGGATTTATGTCACAATATTGAAAGAAGGATCAACATCTGGTCCTTTCAAACTGCCATATGCCGCCATAATCTCTCAAATAGGCCCCTATAATAAGCTTGAGTATATGAAACATAATTGCTTACAGTAGCTCATATAGTTTGTTGTGGTATGTTGCATTGTTATTCCTGAGATCACAAAGCACCATGATCCTTGCCCAATCACATGATGTATGTAATTATCAGGATTCTCAAAGCGCCACGTTTAATTATTAACTTCAGCAACCTGGTGCCAGGAAAGAAACAGAACCACTATGCTCAATATTTTCCTCTGTAAAAGACATAGAACTAGAGGATTAAAAGCGGGAAGCGATGATAACATAGAAGAAGACCAGGTAAAGGCCTTTGATGTGCTGTCTAATCTTTATTATGGATGAATTGAACTTAATTCTGTATAATTATATCAACTCTAGTCAATACTAAACGCATGCGAGTGCTGACATGACACCTCCAACACCTGTGACCCGAATATCCACTTTTATACGTGAGAAGGATGTGACGTAAATGCGAGGGGCCGACTGATTTATTGGTTTTCCGATCAATGTGAACTGTCCCCCATTCAGTCACCAAATAATTTTGTCATACATTAGCTCAGCCAACATAAACATGTTATACCTCACCTTAAGGTTCTGAATCTGCAAAATGCACTTTTTGTATTACATTGTAGTAAACTATTATGGATGACTGTAAAAAGTCTGTGAAGGATTATGCCAACACCAGCGCAAAACAGAGATCATAAGCACAAAATCCCACTGTCACCCAGTCAACTTAATCTCTTCTAGAATTCTCTTCTGATACAGTACATTTTATCATGTTTGGACTCAGAACCTCTAGAATTCAGTAGCTAGTGGAAAACAAAATATTATTTGTGAATATTTAGCTCCAATGTGCATCAATATGCCCATGTCACATATTTTTTTTTGGCTTGGGTTAATTTTTGGTTGATTGTTCATTGGGTTAATTAAATTTACTCCCTGTATTACAGCCATAAAAGGATTGGGCTGAAGAAACTTGCTGATGTACTGTAATCTCAGCTTGAATTTAAATACAGTTGATAATGAATGATAATACAAATCTGATGTTTGGTCATTAATTGGCACAGCAAAAAAAAAAGAAAAAAAGATGGTATTGTTGTTGGTTCCAAACAATCCAAATCAGTCAGTCACATGTGTAAAGTACCTCAAAAAGTCCCTAAGCGTTTCCACATAATGTCTAATCCCTGTATTCATTTTCTCTCCTGTAGTCATGTCTGAGAACTATATTGTGTTTGTGGAGCAGCCGCTCAAACTGGATCTGCTCAAGTTCATGTTGTACCGGATTCAGGGCAAAAGCTTCCATAAAGTCATGATCTGGGAACCCAAGAACAACACCGTCTTCCATCTGGTCAACAGACACACAGGAAAGGTGGGTCTGAACCAAACAGAGGGCTGCCCTACACTGGGAGAGGCTATATCTGGGGTGCGCAGGGAGCTAATAAATGGGGAGAACAAGAAAGAAAAATTGCAAGCTAATCTCTTCACGCACCCTTATTTATTTTGATGAGACTGCAGTGTAATGGTGTGGCCTTTCCTCACGCATTGTTACACGCATCTCATTACACGGCAGACCCATTAGGCGCACACTGGCTATGTATGGGTGCACACAAAAGAGGCGCAGTCAGGGGGAAATTTGATTTAATTTCTTCTTGATATCTTTTTACTTACTCTCATTTGACAGAGAAGTGAGGTGAAGTTCCAGAGCGCACCTATGTTCGCGCTGCATCAGATAAACGCCTATGAAGACAATGGCTTTTTGGTGATGGACATGTGTTGTGGAGATGACGGCGAGCTTATTGGGGACTTCACTTTGGAGAATGTTCGCAGAAAATCAGGAGAAGAAATGGATAAGGTAATAGTCGTGCAATGGAGTCATCTTATCTGCACATGCAGGGAATAACACAAAGGAACATCTGAAAAGGTCAGAAGGAAAGATTAAGATAAAGACCTCCATTACACAACCTGAGCCCAGAACAAGAAGCTTTGGGCTTCAAAACATACCGTCCGTGCATCTTGGGATTTTTTTACTTTCAGTACCTCGCTGTGGAGCCTCAGATTATTCTCTCTCTTTTCATGGTGTCAAAGATTACTGACTTCAGTTCTTTCAAGTCCCGTGTGATAATTGGCCCAAGCATGCAGTGTCTAAGGACGGAACAACACCATTATTGATTAAACTTGTGAAACAAATGAAATGAAAGGTCTTCTCACTCACATAACAGCTTTTCAGATGCTGTGAAGTATCACATAGAACAGTGCATGCATGTTAAAGCCTTATCCTGTCAGAGTTCAGCAGGGAAGGGACTGGTTAGTGCTGCGATGGGAGACCTCTGGGAACACCAGGCCCCACAGTGGGATGGCTGCGGCCAATAAAAAATATTTCAGTGTGCTTGAGGCAAGACACTTCAGCTGCATTGCTATGTCTGAGTCTGGTGTGTGCATGAATGATTGATGGGGTCAGAAGGTTGATGGCACAGATTAGTTGTCACATCCTTGTTAGTCTGCCCTGGGCAGCTGTGGCTACTGCAGTTGTTTATCAACGCCAACGCCTTGTATGGAGTGAATGAATAAAGACATGTAGAGAGGGTGTCCAGAAAAGTGCTGTGCAAAACCATTGCATTATTATATCAAACCATAATAGGAATTCATCTGTTCACATAATTTGTCAAATAAATAATAATGGTCTGTTTTATTTCAGTTTTACAATGCCCTGTGCAGAAACCTTCCCAGGAGATATGTCTTACCTCTGAATGTGGATGAACAGACACCACTTGACCAAAACCTGGTCACTCTCAGTGGTTGCACAGCCACAGCCGTTATGACCAAGTCCAAGGAGGTAATGCATGTGACGGATTATGTCCAATTAATGTTGATGTTTAGTCAGAAAGGGGTTTTGTTTTTCTCTATACTGAGTAAAAAGAAGGCCATAACTCCGACAAAAAGAACCATGGCCTCCCACACAGTCACTCACTGCAATTATTCAGTGTGAGTAGACAGTGAATACAGGGTGTCCACTACCGCAGAGAAAAGCGTGTTGAGAGCCCACTATTCTGCACCAACTGTTTCTCAACGTGTGGGGAATGTTTACAAGCTTAATTTAACTGACTCTTTTATATACAGTGCCATTCTAAACCATATTTTTCCAAATGCAATATATGTGATTGTTAGCGTTCTGAATAAAGCTAAATAGGTATACATTAATTATGATTAGAATTTATTAAATTCCAAAAGACAATTGTCAAATAGCAAAATCAACTTAAAAATATTACAATATTTTTCCTCATAAAAAGGTATGGTTTAGTCTTTATTTGAAAGGGACAGTGCACAGCAACATTAAGCTCAAAGACAGATATGTTCTGCACCAAATTAAAGCCAACTATAGTGTCCAAGGTCTCAAACCTGCAGATTGTTTTTTGTGTGATGTCCTATATTTTCTCTGTATTTCAAATTCCATAACACAACATTTCAAAGTCAATATCTCACATCAGCCAAAACTTAAGCACAATTTGAAATGTCTTATATTTCAAATGGTTGTTAATTTTTCAGTGTATCTGGAACACAATACATGTGCATGGCTGTAGCGGACAGAGTGCAGACTAAAACTGTTGTTGTCAGGTGTTTTTGACTCACGAGGAGCTGCATGACGACACACTGCTGCAGTACGGAGGCCTGGAGTTTCCTCAGATCAACTACGCTCAGTACAACTGCCGGCCTTATCGCTACTTCTACTCCTGCGGCTTTGGACATGTGTTCAGTGACTCCCTGCTCAAGATGGACGTCAACACAAAGGAACTTAAGGTCTCTTATTTAACTTGATCTTCTCTTCCAACTGTCAGCAACTGTTTGTGTGATCCTTTTATGACCTGAATCGTCTCCAAAATAAATGGTATTATATGTAGGTGTGGCGCTATCCGGGCTTGTACCCGTCTGAGCCTGTCTTTGTAGCTTCGCCGGGAGCTACCGAAGAGGATGATGGAGTGGTCTTGTCTGTCATCATCACTCCCAGAAAAGTATGTTGTAAAAGTCCAAAACATATTCAACCTACATTTTACAGTGTTTTCGTATGGTTAAAAGAGCAGTTATTACAGTGAACGGTACACTGTAAATCTGAAATATATTATCTTTCTGCTTCCAGGAGAAAAGTACTTTTCTGTTGGTTCTGGACGCCAAGACCTTCACAGAGTTGGGCAGAGCGGAGGTGCCTGTCAATATTCCGTATGGGACCCATGGCGTGTTTAACGAGATGGGCTAGACGTGCGCCTGTCTCCAGCCAATGTCAGAAATAGAACTATCTCTGCTGATATCATTCGCTCAAAATGTCTTCTACTGTAAATAAAAGTCAGATGCCCTGATTTGTCCTGCCTTTACGGTTAGAAAGATGACAATCTAACGAGACGGGAAGTCCAAAGTGGCCTCTGCAAACTGATAAAGTTTGTCCTCTGTATACGTTCTCAATGCGCTCCATTTCTGAGTGGAATGTTCCAAATATGGGGCTTTTTGTGAAAATATATAATACAAAAATTTCAATGCAGGCATTAAAAAATATCCATTTCCCTGTTTCTGTCTAAAGCCTAAAGTGTTTTAGCACCATCAATCCAGACGAAATGCTATATTCCCAGTGAGAACAGACAGCACTTAGGATACATAAAAATGCATCACAGGAAATTCAATTTCTGTCAAAGTAATGTGATAGAAATGGCCAATGGCTGAAATGCCTGGAAAACAAATAGATATCACTGGTCAATTGCCTCCACTCAGTCTAGGAGAGGTCACATATGGTGGCCGTTCATTTGAACTAAACAAACCAAAGTTATGTTGACACACAGTTTTACTCAAACGCACTGAGTGTGGTTTACGACTACGCTACAGAAACTGCTACATCAGAGCTTTGCACTGAATATAAAGTATCTTTAAGAAGCACCTGTCACTCTCCTACATTGTTATTGACTGAGGTTTTATTCCTATCACAGATTTATCTCTCGTACTCTCATACACATGCACTAAGCATCTCACACAGCCACATTTACTGACTCAAACTGGGTTTTAATGTCTGTAATTTCCTTCAGAGTGGCTCCATCCTGACCAGTCCCTGTCTTTGTTAGCGGCCTCCATGGATGCCCATTAATTAGCCCATAACTGCTTATGTAATCAGTATGATCAGGTTCACCACAGTCTCCAAAGGCCACGGCTTGAAGACACGTGACCTCTGACCATAGATAAAGCTTCTTTTTTGAGCCGAGTAAGCAGAGAAAACCTCTCCCATTTAATTAAACGCACACATGTGATAGAGGGATCAATGCATCTGTAGATGGCATTTTGATAGTGAACCTTTATGGCTCTTGCAATCATCTTTTACAGTTATAGAGACAACATCATTGCCACAAGTTGACATATGGATACAGGAAACCAGATATTTTTATTACTTGTGTTTTAGGTCAGTTATTATCCATTAACATTATTTCTGTACACTCCATGTCACAATATTGAGAGAGGTATTTAGTCAGATTCTTATATACTATTTTTTAATATAACTTTAACTTTAATTATAAGTTTAATTTCAGTCAGACAGTAAGAGAAGTTTGTGCTTGTAATTGGCAGTTAGCCAGGCAGACTACCCACACCATGCATCATTTTAAATAAAATGCAAATGTGGTTTCCTCAGATATGCTCCAGGTCTTTGTCATGTTGGGGAGTGGACACACATGCAAATCTCACCCAATTAAGTAAATAAGTGTGAGTAAGTTGACAGAGGAGTAGCAGTATGATCATGCAGCAGAGGATGCTTTGTTCTGTTTTTGTATGTGGCCCATAATGACAGAGCCGTCCAGCTCCAGAGGAACATGAGCCCAGGCCCATACAGGCAGAATCAGGCTGATTTTAGGATAATAACAACAGAAGCTCTCCCTCTTGGATCCCAGCCTTGGTTGACAGTCGAACATCATTATGAGCCAGTGGCCTTGCAGTTTGTCACTGTCAACGCCTCTAAATAGAGACTTTGTTTTCAACTTCTCTGAAGATTTATGACATTCCAGGCACTATTTAAGCATTGATGCACAACAAAGTCATTTTTGTTAATGTGAGGACATACTGACAAATGGCAGATCCTGTGGTTTGTGGGCTTCCTTCATGCACATGCAAGACATAATGTGGAGCATTGTTGTGGGTCTTACAAATGTCACATCATGTGAGGGGGTATTACAGAATAACCAAGGAATTTTATCAATCTATTTATGTTCAGGTAAAAAACAGTTTGCGTCTCAACTGAATGCCATCTATGAACTGCTCCTGTGACTGTTCCGTGGGAGACCTGTGTCACACACACTGCTTTATTATATTGACCTATAGTCACTGTACAACTTTATTGCATTCAATACAACATAACACAAAGTGCTTCATGAAAAGATTATAATCTTTACAAAGAACGACACATAAATCACACAAATAGTTTATAACAATCGTTTGGCTTTCAAGGAAAATCCCGCGGTGTTATCACAAGGATCAAAGATCTACTATAGGCCGCAGGAGGTCAGTGCAATTTCACTGTTGAGCACCGCGCGTCTCCCGCTTCCTGCAGGAATATTACAGTGATTTTTCAGCTCTGGAGTCGTATTTATTTATTTTCATTGTGCCACATTGAGTGTGACAGACCAGGCTTTTCCCATAGAGACCCACCAAACAGCGCCCTCTCTTGGCCGCAGTGGGTTGACAGTATAAAGTGGCGCGGTGCCTTCACACGCACAGTGCGAAAGGAGCGTGCGCCTTGAGAAGAGCTCTGGAGCCACTTTAACAGAGTTGTTCATCCTCGTTAGATACAGAGTGAGAGCGCACACACCGTGCAGAGAAATGCTTTAGGGACAAGTGTTTCTGAGGGCAGCTGCTGCGTGCTTATGATGCAAAAAGCACAAGTCTCCCGAGTTTGTGGCTATGATCGCTCCAGTGACGGACCCTGAAGCCGACTGCATGGATTCCCTGACTGACTGAGTGGCATTTGCTTTATTTCTATCCATCATCACAGGGAATTATTTTGTGTGTCGTGGGCAATTTGATCAAATTTGTGGAATATTTTGGGGACCAAGGATTTGATAAGACGCATCTTTTGGAGTTGAATGTGGATATTTGTTTTTATTTGCTACTTTCCCACAGTCTCTGCTTGGGTCAGGGATTCTGACTGATTTGTCAGAACATAAAGGCGGAGGTATTTAACAAATAGGACCCAAAGTCTTCTGCTCATCGCCATCAAGTTCATGATGAAGTCTGGCACTGTGTGGATATGCACCTATGTCTGCGTCCTGTTTTTAGGTGAGGAATGGAATGCATATGTCACAGTGCTTTTAATGATAATAATGTATTGATTACAATGTTAAAATTGGCAGGCATCTAATCACACAACTAGCCTAAGACTTGAAAATTATGTTGAGAAAGGAAATGGTCGGTGCAAACAGTCAACATTAAAGTGAGTCTTTTAACGACGTTCTAAACCGGTCAGAATAGTATTTAATCATTATGATGCTGCTGTTGAACAGGCTACAGCAAATGTATACATGCATACATTTATATCTTATGGTCTACATTGATGGAATGAACCGTTCGCGTGTTTAAATATCAGGAAACGCACCGACACCATGCTATCTGGGCAAGAAAGGCCTGCTACGTACATTCTCAAAAATAATTAGGCTTCCATAGCCTGAAGGATTTATAAAGTATTCCTTCTGCCAACTCTGTGTCACTACTTCTCCACTCTCGAATGCGGGCTTCGTTTAAACGCAATCCTCCACATCACCGCGAGGGGGCGCTGTTGGCCTGTCCTGCTGCAGGAATCAGTGCAGTGGAAAAAGGCGCTGGAAAATCGAGAACATGGTCGTGAAGAGGCAACTGTCTATGTAGTGCGTCCGTCAGCCTCATAACGCCTGGAAATACCTACAAGGGGCTCACGCCTAGTGTTTGAGGCTTACTGTTGCTGGAGGGAAATGTTTGATATCATTTTAATACAGTGAACTAAACATGTGATCAACAGGTCGTGAACAACCACAAGGCCAACAGCAGATGCATAGTTTATGTAGAACACACACTTGTTGCATGGCCACGAATACTTATTACTTATTACGTATTACATTTAACACAACATAAATGCAATATCTCTCTTTTCATTTGTTGTCATACAGAGGAGGCGGTGAGTTCCTGGGATAGCCCCTCTGTGTCCGTGTCCTTGCTCAATGACAGCCCTGTGGCCGCCGGGCCTCTGCCCAGCGCTCAGCCAGAATGGGTGGACTGTATCCAGGCCAGCGACATGTGCAACCAGAACCCCCACTGCAGCTCTCGGTACCGGGTCATGCGCCAGTGCCTGGTGGGGAAGGAGAAGGAGGCCATGCTGGACAACAACAGAGAGTGCCAGGCCGCGCTGGAGGTGCTGCTGGTCAGTCCACTGTACGGCTGCCGCTGTAAACGAGGCATGAAGAAAGAGCTACAGTGTCTGCAGAACTACTGGACCATCCACATGGGGCTCATCGAAGGTACGAACCAAAACCACACATCCCATAATTTATGAACTCTTTTTATCAAGTATAGTCTGGAAAGTGTGAGTGTTTTAATGTGAGGTCTTGCCAAGCCTTCAATCTCTGATCTAATGTACTCACACCCACATTAGACATTTTCTTCACCTATAGTCTTAAAACAGTCTGCTAATACATATTTGAAACATTGCCGCTTCTTAATACGCCCTTATCTTTAGAGTGCACATCAGCCATACAGTAAACATTAAGTTCTGATACAGAGTGAATAAGCTGTTAGTCACTCATTCTCCTGAGATTGTTCAGCTTTCTCTTTGTGGGCTCTGCATATAGTGACTCATCTGTCATCTGTTGTGTTGCAATTTTCATATTGACTTGGCATAATTTTTTGGCAGATGCCCCGCCAGATACAACACTTTTCATTTAGACAACCTGTGATCAGTATTAGTATCCAGTGCTTTCAGAATTAGCAAATAAACACACCAGAACACCACATTTGAACAAAAATAATAAGTATTGGGAGCATATGGTTCTCAATCTACATTAGCTTTCCATTATTCACAATCAGCTCACTTTTAAAAGCCATATTGGGAGAAGACACCCACTCCAGAACACGCTGCCCTATTCCCCCATGCCCTCTTAGCGATGCCCAAAAGCCCTGATGAAAAATATATGCTTTCTTCCTTTCCTCTGCTCGCCCACTTGAAGGTATAATGGAGCTATAATGGAATTACATTAGGTAGACCTGTTATGGTAGACTTATTGGTTTTCACCTAAAGTGTTCCATATTACCATGTAATTAGGTTAGAGCCGTGAGCGTCCAGTGGCCCTCGTGTGTCCACTTAGCCTGGATGCAAAAGCACACTATAATAATTCATCATGGAAGGATCCTCAAGCCACACCCTGTATCCTCTGACCACCAGATCTCACCCACTCTTGTTTGCTGAGCGTCATGCCATGTAAACACGACGGGCCCTAATGTTTTCTGCTGTTTGAACTAATGGTTGGAAAGAAGGCTGGAAAGAGGGCAGAGTCTGTGGCGCTTTGAGCTTTCTGTGCTTCTGTGTGGTGATCCATGAAGTTATTAGTGAGGCTGACTGCTCATAGCACCAGCCACACTTCATTGGTCTGGTGACAGCAGAAGGTCCCTGACATGAGCTCAAACAGAAATGTAATGGCATGTGTTCTCCCCAGGCCTCTCTCCTCCATCTCACACACAGTCCTTCCTCTGATGTCTTATTTCATTTTCAATTTCCCACACTATTTGAATGAAAGGACATGAAAATACAGTGCTTTTCAAAACTTCTGGAAAGATTCATGAACAAAGAAAAGGTGTAGTCATGCACAGAATCGCATATTCGAGAGAAGGGAAAAGAACACGCAACCTTTCCAAAATAGAGACTAATAGACTCCAGTCACTAGTAATGAAAGTTGTATATATAAGAGTACATTTTGTCACGTTTTGAAAAGGTGGAAGAACCCAAAAAAATGCAGGACTGACAAAAACGTCAGATTTAATACATAACAACTCAACAATAACAAAATACAGGGTTACAGAAGTCTAAACTCAAACTCAAGACGAAACAGGGACCAAAAGGGACCAACAACAAAGGGAAAGGATTACAGGGATTAAATACACACATGGTAAAGTAAAACACATGAGTGAACACTGAAAAGAACCAATCCATAAAAAAAAACCAAGTGAAATTCATCAAGAAGTCCACACAATGCATTTTTAATAATATGTGTAAAACGTCGCCAATATCAAACCACTTCTTCAGATGTGACTCTAGTAACATTTTTTTGGGCAACTCTTTGAATCCACAAAACCTTATGCACTGTCTAGAATTTTTACATTCAGTTTGACCTAATTCCAACTTTAGTCATTTCTCAGACCAGTGCTTTTCTGGTGCACAGTTTAAACCAGTCCCCACTCAACATTGTTCGACATTATATTTTTACTTTTTTTTTAAAGAAAATATATATGCATTTTTATAGCCCTTAAAGACGAGTGTGGAAATACTCTGCATGTTATAGAAGGTGGAATCATTGATTTTGATTATAGAATGAAATATATGGACCAATGATAATAATCTGAGCTGGTAATTCTTCACTTCTAAAACCAAAAAGACAAACTGAATTTTTCAAGATCAAACATATTTGTTGTGAAAACAGCAATGTCGACAACTTTTAAAGAGTTAAAGAATGTTACTGACCATGGGGCACTGTAGATAGTATAGTATTTTTCAACAATAATTTTAGGGTTAGGGTTATAGTCACTTACCTTGGATTTGTGGAGGAGAACGCACTCACAAAAATATTAAAGCCCAACTCTATTTCAGAGGGAATGGAATAAAGCTTTGTTATTTAAATGCACAGCTTGTTCATATAAAATGTCTATGTTGAGGTAAAGTTTGACCTGTCTTTGGAGTCTTCGTAGGATTACGCCCCAAATTTTGCCGTTCTGACTTGTATGTTTTCTCTTTGTTGCCCCTGGTTATGTAATTGATGCATAAACCTGAGGTATATGCAATTTTAATGAATACGCTTTATTACTCTAATGACTATTTATCAAGAGAGCTTTCTTTTGTATTCTTATGTTTAAAGGAACTAAAAAGAGGGAATGGAATTTCTATATAAATTAAATTAAATAAATCTTCATCAAACCAGGAAGGAGGTGAAGCGGCTGGGATCCAGATCAGCACCTCCAAACCTGGTGCTCCACCAGATACAAGTGCTCTTCCCTCTCCAGGTGGAGGAGAGGTCCTTCCTCAAGTGAGTAGCACAGGGACTGAGGAGCACAGGGACTGGACTCCTGTTAGTGCCCAGAGTCAGAACTAAACATGGGGAGGCTGCTTTTTAGATTCATGCTGCTAAAATCTGGAACAATCTTCCTGAAGATGTGAGACAGGCCTCCTCTCTGACAATGTTTAAAACCAGGTTAAAAACAGTTCTGTTTAACTGTGCATACAACTGAGGGATTTTATATTTTATATTTTTATCTTTCTTTTTAATGTACTGTGATTATTTATGCTTTATTTTAATGCTTTATTTTTTTTGTTCAGCACTTTGAGTTGCCTTGTGTATGAATTGTGCTATACAAATAAACTTGCCTTGCCAAGTGGGGAGTTTTAAGTCACATTTTATTACTTTATTTTAAAGAATACTTTGGAATATTGTACCATTCTCAAAGGTCCCATATTTCGTTCTTCTTCATTTTTCACTGCCCAGCCTGAGCACATGTGTACACCATACAACTCTCAACATTTGCCACATTATAGCCATTTCTTGCATAAAGGTGATGAATTGAATTCAATTCAATTGTTTCAATTGAATTGAAACAAGCTGGGCTGTGCTCACCTCTGTTTCGTTGAGGGACCATGGTCTGTTTAAAATGTAATAAAGATTACTTACTTACTTACTCACTGTGAAAGCGTAATAAGGGACCTTTAAGTGAGCAAACTTGCCCCTCCATAGATCTGACCAACAACCAAGCTACCTGCTTGTCTCCATCATAATCGAAAGGTGGTCCCTCCTCCAGAATACTTAGTCTTTCCAACTTACAACAGTATTCGCTGTGCTCTTACCAGAGCGCCCACGTCCTGTTCTTGGCCCTGTTGTCTTTGGAGATAAAACCCCCTTTAACTCAAATGAATGCTCTTACAGTGAAGCTTTAATCTAATCACGATCCATTGGGCAGTGGAGCGGCTTTGTTAAGTGGAAACGATCTATGTACAACATCCATCTCTGCAAACACTCACCCAGAGCCTGATCCCTCAGATCCAGAAATGTTTGGCTATATTTCTATATAAATAGATATTTATTATCATCAGCTTGGCTCAGGGGTTAGGGCAATACTCAAGAGAAGATCCATATACACAGGGAGCACAGGTACGACTCAAACAGATCTATAACAACTGCAGAAGGACATGTGAAAAAAATTATTTATATTCTCCTTCATGAAGTTGTTTTGGTCAAATTCATAAAAAATCAAATAATTTCCAGCCTTTCAAGATCTAAATTTTAATTATTTGAATGATTTAAATGAATGATTGCCATAATAATCAATTATCAGATTAATTGTTGATTACAGCCCAACAATCATCAGAGACAGTGGCGAGGCATGTGTTCGCAGAGCTTGGGTGAAAATGGGCATTTTTCAGCACAAAAGGATTTGTTCTCTCACAGACTGCACATTCATTGCATAAGTCATTGCCTTATATTTGGGATCATGGTTCTATTTTTGATTATCTGCCTGTGATGTTAAACAGATAGAGGGTTTGGGTAATTCAATCTGAAGAGACCAAAGACACAATTAAAACATTAAAATGATTTATTTATTTGGCGCATTGACCCCGGCAGTGACACTTGCAGCGATGAGATCGATTGCAGCTGAAGATGATCTCATATCCCCCAGGGTCAAGCACTGGTGGCGGCTAGAGAATGGTGTGAATGGGGCGTAGGCAGAGCAGGAGCCAGAGCAGGAGCCTAGAGTGGGAGCCAGAGCCAGATCGGGAGCCAGAGCGGGAGCTTAGAGCAGGAGCCTAGAGCGGGAGCTGGAGGGGGTGCTGGGGAGGTGGGTGTTAAGAGCTTCAGGAAGCGCTGTTTATCTTGAAGTGGCTGCCCGTTAAACTGCCCGTTTTGCTGTCATAGGATTGGCAAGAGGCTGGCCGGGCTGTGTGATTGGCAGAGGCTCGGGGCTGGCAGAGCTGTGTGATTGGTTGGCTTGGAAGAGGGAATTTGCACTCGGTCTTTCAGTCTGAATTTGCGCGTTCAGCTTCATTTTAATTTCTAAACTATTATTGCAGAGATTTGTCCAGGTGCCAGGCCATACAGCTAAGCTTGGAAACAAATTCAACTTCAACAATGTGGCACATGCTGCTTGATGTTTTTTTAGATGTACTCCTCCTGACTTGTGCTTTTTCAGAGCATGTTTTCTGACAAATACAGAGGTCTTGACTTTCAGCTCTCTGGTCAGCCTTCTGTTTGATTGGTGAATCCTT